GAGAAACACTTTGCTGAAAGCTTTTACATGATTTATGTGCTTTGAGTCTCAGTTCCTATGAAAAGAGTTAAATTAGGGTAAAGTAGTCTGAGTAACTGCTGCTTACAGGCAGCTTTCACAGACCGGCAGGGCCAGGTTCTTGGTGTCTCCAAAGAGCATTTGTTCCGTGTTGATTTATACTCAACCTTTTGAAACTGTGTTTTCTACTTTCAGTGAAAATTCCTGTTTTTCCTTAGCACCTTCCATGAAACCGTTCTTCATAATCTCTAGCTTCCTGGAAAGGAAGCGTACTCAGTGCCGTATTCAAACAAATAGGAAAAGGGGAGGGGGCAACTTTTGCTCTCAATATTTGAAATCATCTTGTAAAGCAAAATCTTTTATTCCCAATATTTAGCGACTTGTAAATGGAAATGGCTAGTGAACTTGAAACATGGGTTTGTTTATTACCTTCTGGAAACAGGACTCCCTGACGTGGGAAGCGGGCAGATTTGGGGGAATGTGCTGTGCTGTCCAAGTTTTATTTCTTCTCTCAGTGGAGCTGAGTTTCACCTCCTGATCTTTATTATCACCAGCTTGGGTCCAGGTGCAACACTTCTGGAATCTCTTCTCTTGCTTGCACCTTCTTAGCCTTCAGATCATCAGAGGGACAATCTTTGTCCTGCAGTGTTTTTCCTGATACCCCAGGGACTAGGTAGGTTAGAGCTCTTTACGCACTACTGTAATTCTCAGATACGTTAAGCTTAGAACTCTTTACATAGTAACGTAATTCCATGCTTCCATTTCTCTCCCTTCACTGACTGGTCAAGCCAGTGAAGCCAAAATCCATATCAGCTCTGCCTCAGACTGTATCCTCATTTTAGTGCCCAATAAATATTGCTTGAATAAAAGCATGTTACATTTTCATGCTTTTTTGGTGTCCATGGCAAGAAGTACTTTTAGGTTCTGTTTTTTAGAAACCTATGTTCGATTTCTTCTACAAAATTAGAATAATAATGCTAACCTTCTAAGGTACTTATAAGATGGTGTGGGTCAGTGGTTCATAACTGGGGGCGATTTTGTGATCCCAAGGGACATGCCCATGACAGTGTCTGGAAACGTTTTTGTTTTTAAAGATTTTATTTATGTATTCATGAGAGACACAGAGAGAGAAGCTGAGACATAGGCAGAGGGAGAAGTGGGCTCTTCACATGGAGCCCCATGCAGGACTCCATACCCAGACCTGGGATCATGCCCTGAGCCGAAGGCAGAGACACAACCAATGAGTCACCCAGGTGTCCCTGGAAATATTTTTGGATGCTCATGGGAGCCCCATACAGAATTATCCAGCCCAAAATGCCAGTAGCACTGAGGTTGAGAAATTCTGGAGTATATTACAATACATAGAACTTGGTAGGTTCAAGGTGGTTTTATTTTGCTGTATACATCGGAGTTTACCTCTTTGGACTACGTAAATCATAATAATTAGGTAGAGAATCACAGTTTATTATGTTCTTGCGTGAGTCAGGCATCATGAAGGCTTTCCACAAATACTATCCTATTCAATTCTCTCCAGAATACTATGAGTTAGGAACTATTTTCATCTTCATTTTTCAGGTGAGGAAAGGAAGGCGTAAAAGGTCAAAATCCTGCGGCTACTCTGTGTCAGAGGTGGGATGAGAACTCGGGGGCTGTGCTTTTGACTATTATACTGTACTATTTTCTCTATGAACAGAGTCTCCCACTTAAAATCTGAAAGGATTACTGCTCTTAGGATGCAGTAGGAATTAGCACTGAAAATATAGAGGAAATTTTAGCGTATTTAAATGAAAAAAACAATGTTATTATTGCCTACGTGTTTGTAATTTTCCACTTGTACTAATTTCAACAAAGATACTGTATATTGGCTGACATATTTAGGCTACCATTGATCCAAGGATTACAACAGATTTGCTATTTGCTCTAATTTTGTGGGACTTTCAAGAAGCTCAAAAACAACAACAACAACAAAACAACAAGAGTTTGTTTCCAATTCAGAATTGAGCTTGTCATAGCTGATCAACACATTGTAATCTCGATGAGACTTTTCTTCTGTTAAGGTGGATAAACAGTGACAGTTTGCCCCATGTAATCGCATTAGAGGATTTCTTCAGGACAACATCCTCTTCTTACATAATTACGAAAGAAGCACTCATAAGTCCAGTACCTCGGCTAGAGAGCAAGGCCTGGGGCAAAGGACTGGCTGATGGGGCTTTCCTCCTCCTAACAAAGACACAGCACAGGCAAGTGGAAAATGTGCCATTGGGAAGCAATGATAGTCTCCAGGTCCCAAAACCTGAGTGCTTTGTTAGCTCCCAGTAATTATTGCTTTGAGATTTCTGGTTGATGAACTTTCTAAGTAATTTCTGTCATCCTCAAGTATTGGCTCATTGTTTCCAAGGCCTTAATACTTGGCTTGTAAACACAGTCAAGAAACATCTATCCTTTTTATTTAGGAACTTAGAGCCCTGGAGCAGCTGTTTTTCTCTCTTAGGAAAGTCTATTTATTGTGTGTTACTATTGCATGTGGAAGATTCCTGCGGAATACTCAAAACTGTGTTGGGTTCCATTCTTCCGGTCTCTCTTTCCTACCTCCTATGAAGAGTAAATGCTAATAGCACCAAACAAATGTTTGTTCTTAAGTAAATCCTGCTTCATAAAGTGGGATCTCATGATTACAAATAACTTTTGCACTCCTACTGAGCATTAGTGCTTGTCATTCAGACATAGATTTCCAAGGGTCTGTTGAGGCCAAGTGTATGTTATAGTCATTCCCCTACTCCACCTACAAGATGTCATTTATGTGTAAGATGTAATTTGAGACTATCTTCTAGGGACAAAAGGGATCAGTATGCTTTTACTCTTACTTGAGTCCTTTGACATGCTCTTGAATTTGTTTTGTATTGAATAAATGAAAACGTTTGAATGATTAAATAAGATGTTACTGTGTTTAGGGCAATGACTCTCAAATTTTAACAGGACACCCTAGGTTCTTGCTACTTTCCAACAACTTCCCAGCTCAAGCTCAGGCTACTGGACCAGGATCACCCTTGAAAATCAAACTATTAGGGAACACTGAGATGGTCTAAAAATTTGAAATCTGTGCTAAGGATGACATCAGGCTGATGACACTAAACTCATTTTTCCTATTCTATCCCGGTTGTATTATAAATCATTCTTTAAGCAGATAGGAGGGTTTTTGCTGGGGTGGGGGGAAGGCTCCTGTCTAGTAGTAAAACGTATATTTGTAAGTTTTAACAAATTAAAAGTATCATATCTCAATCTGGTTTGCCTGGAGAAAGATTCCCTATCTCTCCTCTCCCCTTTTTGAGGTCTCTGAACAATAAAACATGAATTTTACTGTTTCAGGTCATCAGAGGCATTTTTTTTAGGTGGTTCGCAATTTTTTTTTTTAAGTCGTGGAACAAATTTACAATATCCTTGACACTTAAATAGCATTTACAATGCTTTGTTTTCTTTTTTTAATTATATTTCTAAGGATAGCTGAGGAAACAATTTCAAATACTTCCTCCGTGCTCTAGATATATAAGTTGTTTTAGTTTTTGTCTGTTGGTGAGAATTAAGAAATTCATAGCTTGCCATGTCCTGTCATGTTAGCTTATTTTGTAAGGAAATCAAATCTGGCACCTTTCAATTAACTGCTTTACCTCTCTGATCTAAAAACAGATAGAACATGTTGTAGAGCATGAAGGCATGATTACTATCTGTGGATTGCCTTTACTTCCTCAACTGGGTCCTCTGTCATTTCAAAGTCAGCTGAAGGTCCTTCTTTAAAAGCAGGAAAAAAAAATCCTCACGGATGGGAGGAAGGTGGTGATGTTGAAAAATAACTTATTCCCAATCATGAGCTTGGCAGTTCTCAACGAGATCACAATGGTGATCTCATCTGTACCTGGAAACCCGGAAAGAAGGAATCAATAGAAATGTATCATGGACTGGAGTTTCGTCGTTCTTGGTAACTCGAGCATAAGCTATTTTGGAGAAAGACAAAGATGTGAAGAGGGGAAAGTGGGGAAGAAAAGAGAAATCGTCTCTCTGCCTTCATGCGTGCTCCTCTGCATTACATTTATTCATCTCCCTTGCAGGATCAGATCAAAAGGACACATCTTTTTTTTTTTAATTGAATTTATTTTTATTCGTTTCAGAGGTAGAATTTAGTGATTCATCAGTTGCATATCACACCCAGTGCTCATTCCATCATATGCTCTCCTTAATGCCCATTACCCAGTTACCCTGTCCCCCCCAACTCTTCCCCTCCAGCGACCCTTGGTTTGTTCCCTATAATTAAGAGTTTCTTACAGTTTGCCTCTCTCTCAATTTTCCTCTTATTTTATTTTTCCTTCCCTTCTCCTATGTTCTTCTGTTTTGTTTCTTAAATTCCACATCTGAATGAAATCATACGGTATTTGTCTTTCTCTCTCCCACTTATTTTCGCTTAGCATCATACCAAATGGACTCATCTTTTTAAACAACTTTATCAGCCCCTATCTTGCATTTGTTTATTTATAACTAGAAAGGACTTCCCATTTTTTTCTCCTCCAGTTGTATTAGTCAGTCAGTCATTTCATCTTGAAACAAGGTGTGGCCAGTCAGATTTGTAGGTGATCATCGTTATTGATTCAGTGGGTTCAACAGTGTGTCTGGTGGGCTTTTCTATTGGATACGCGAATAGATATTTAAGAGAATATACTGATTGGGATGTAAAATTCACAGTACACTCACTGATGGTGAGGGGGAACTGTCTGGTTTTCTTTTGAATGAATATATGATAATCAAATCATGATCCTTTCTCAGTACCTTTTCAACTAAATTATTGTTCCTTAAAACATCACTTAATGTCAGCTCCCTTGTCTCTGGTGTTATTTGTCAGATAACATTGTTCTTGAAGGACATAGAGTCAGGTCAGCACTTCATCCATTACTCTCCCCTTAAATGACTTTTTTCTCTTTACTTTCCTACAACAGATTGCAGATTGAGCTTAACCAAGAAGTTCAGAGTCTCATCAACGCTGACCTGATCTCCAGCACGAGAAGGGAGTTCTAGTTCTGCCTGCCTCGTTGGGTCCCTGTTGACCGCTGATAACTTGGCTTCACTCATCGCCTGTGTGGAAAATTCTCCCTATTGAAATTATTATTATTATTATTGTTATAATTATTATTATTATTTTTGCACATGGAGGACAGTAACAAAGAAGGCAACACAGGCTGATAAGACCAGAGACCACAGGAGAATTCTTTTACCGCAGGCCTTCGAGACTTTTCCTCCACTTGGAGTTCTGGACTTTAACAGAACCCCATCTAGTCATTTTGGTTTTGCTATATATATATATATTTTTTTTTCTTCCTTTTTACTTTCCCCACCACCTTGTATTTTGTTTCTGTACTTCAGAAATGGGCCTGCAGACCACACAGTGGCCCAGCCATGGGGCTTTTTTCCTGAAATCTTGGCTTCTCATTTCCCTGGGGCTCTACTCACAAGTGTCAAAAATCTTGGCATGCCCTAGCGTGTGCCGCTGCGATAGGAACTTTGTCTACTGTAATGAGCGAAGCTTGACCTCAGTGCCTCTTGGGATCCCGGAGGGCGTAACCGTACTCTACCTCCACAACAACCAAATTAATAATGCTGGATTTCCTGCGGAACTGCACAACGTACGGTCGGTGCACACGGTCTACCTTTATGGCAACCAGCTGGATGAATTCCCCATGAACCTTCCCAAGAACGTCCGAGTTCTCCATTTGCAGGAAAACAACATTCAGACCATTTCCCGGGCTGCTCTTGCCCAGCTCTTGAAGCTCGAGGAGCTTCACCTGGATGACAACTCGATATCCACAGTGGGGGTGGAAGACGGGGCCTTCCGGGAGGCCATCAGCCTCAAACTGTTGTTTCTGTCCAAGAATCACCTGAGCAGTGTGCCTGTGGGGCTTCCTGTGGATTTGCAAGAGCTGCGAGTGGACGAAAATCGAATTGCCATCATATCGGACATGGCCTTTCAGAACCTCACGAGCTTAGAGCGTCTGATCGTGGACGGCAACCTCCTGACCAACAAGGGCATCGCCGACGGCACCTTCAGCCATCTCACCAAGCTCAAGGAGTTCTCCATTGTTCGGAATTCCCTCTCCCACCCGCCCCCCGATCTCCCCGGTACACATCTGATCAGGCTCTACCTGCAGGACAACCAGATCAACCACATCCCTCTGACGGCCTTCTCAAACCTGCGCAAGCTGGAACGGCTGGATATATCCAACAACCAGCTGCGCATGTTGACCCAGGGGGTCTTCGATAACCTCGCCAACCTGAAGCAGCTCACGGCTCGGAATAACCCCTGGTTCTGCGACTGCAGCATTAAGTGGGTCACGGAGTGGCTCAAGTACATCCCCTCCTCTCTCAACGTGCGAGGTTTCATGTGCCAAGGGCCTGAGCAAGTCCGGGGCATGGCTGTCAGGGAGCTGAATATGAATCTGTTGTCGTGCCCCACCACGACCCCTGGGCTGCCCGTCTTTACCCCGGCCCCGAGTACGGCCCCCCCGACGACTCAGCCCCCCACGCTGTCTGTCCCGACCCCCGGCCGGAGCCACACACCGCAGACTCCCACCACAGCCAGGCTGCCCACCGTCCCGGCCTGGGATGGCAGGGAAAGAGTGACCCCGCCTGTTTCCGAACGGATCCAACTGTCTGTCCATTTCGTGAATGACACGTCCATTCAAGTCAGCTGGCTGTCCCTCTTCACGGTGATGGCGTACAAACTCACGTGGGTGAAAATGGGCCACAGCTTAGTAGGGGGCATCGTTCAGGAACGCATCGTCAGCGGCGAGAAGCAGCACTTGAGCCTGGTGAACTTGGAGCCCAGATCCACCTATCGGATTTGCCTAGTGCCACTGGATGCTTTTAACTACCGAGCGGTGGAAGATACCGTTTGTTCCGAGGCCACCACGCACGCCTCCTATTTGAACAATGGCAGCAACACGGCCTCCAGCCACGAGCAGACGACGTCCCACAGCATGGGCTCCCCTTTTCTGCTGGCGGGCCTGATCGGGGGCGCCGTGATATTTGTGCTCGTGGTCTTGCTGAGTGTCTTTTGCTGGCACATGCACAAAAAGGGGCGCTACACGTCCCAGAAGTGGAAGTACAACCGAGGCCGGCGGAAAGATGACTATTGTGAGGCCGGCACCAAGAAGGACAATTCCATCCTGGAGATGACAGAGACCAGCTTTCAGATCGTCTCCTTAAATAACGATCAGCTCCTTAAAGGAGATTTCAGACTGCAGCCCATTTACACCCCGAATGGGGGCATTAATTATACAGACTGTCATATCTCCAACAACATGCGATACTGCAACAGCAGTGTGCCAGACCTGGAGCACTGCCACACGTGACGGCCAGGGGCCCGGCGTCAGGAAGGCGGACACTAGGACTCCCGAGAACACACACGTGTGTGCACATAGAGACACGCGAATTACATTTGATAAATGTTACCCAGATGCATTTGTGCATTTGAATACTCTGTAATTTATACGGTGTACTATATAATGGGATTTAAAAAAAAAAGTGCTATCTTTTCTATTTCAAGTTAATTACAAACAGTTTTGTAACTCTTTGCTTTTTAAATCTTAAAAAAAAATAGTTGCTGAAGTACTGTACAGGGTTGTACAATGAGAACCCAATGCCAAGGCAAAAGAAGGAGTGATTCTTCCTCATGATGCACACTACCCATTTTGCCGTAGAAGCTGTCAGAATAAATTCCCTTCTTACGGTCGGTGGTCAGATGAGAGGGCAGATTACAGTGGCCTCATCAGGGCAGGCTAAATAATGTGGGTAAAACAAGAAATGGCCCAGATACCTCCGTGCTATTTCTGCACTTCCTGACCTGGAAGAAAAGTATAACATTTCGAAATACAAGAAAGGAGGTAGTTACCCCGATTTGACCCAGAGCAGGAAATGTATAGAAAGCATCACGAGGAAGCCCGTTCCCGTAAGATAAGTTAACCCAACTTGGCAAAACCCAGAAATCGACACGTTTGGAAAAGAACTTCAAACCCCAGGGGTGGGGGAGGGGTTGGCTTTCTGATTGGGAGCTTAAAAAATCACTCCTCATGCTCCCCTGGCCCTATGCGATAACAGAGTTAGAGACTTGAGTGTGATTTCGGTCATCTGCAGGGACACGTAGGATGTTCCAGCGAGAAAACTCCCTTTACAAGTGTTACTATTCAAATTATATGTCAGGTTGAATCACATTCAACAGAGATATATTCTAGAATACTTTTGTAGAAGAGGCTAATAAAATAACGGGAAGAATTATATTGAATGGAATTATTTTTGATAATGAGACTTATTTCGGTAGATTCACTGAGGCTATGTCAACATGATATGTAGACCAACAAGAGATGAGTGTTTGGAATATACTAAAGTTGATATTTGAAAACCGTCGATACCATTTAGACAAAAACAAGTGATCAGTGGTTCTGCTCTACTTTATCAAATGACTGTATTAGTATCATGTTGAAATAGCTTGAATTAATACCTTTATCCCCTTGCAAATTTGTCTTCCAATCACCTCACATATATTTTCGTAATTAGCTATTTATGCTACATTTGTTTGGTTTTTTCCCCCACTCTGCTTAAAATTTGAAAGAAAATTTTAGATGCCAGTCTTGGTTGCACAAATATCCATATATACTTACACACTATAAAATGTATACTGATTTTCAGTGCTAATAATTCTGTAAAGATACATCAAAACTGGCTGAAATAATGTTTGTTTGCTTTTTATTTTTTTTATTTTAAAGCAATACGGAGTTTCCACCTTGGACTGAACTTGAATTCCATTTTTGAATTTTCGTTTATTCCTTTTCAGTCTTGAGTGCCCCTCTTCTTTGGGAATTGTGGAGGGATAATCTACCTTTTATTAACCGGATAACACGAGAAATGAACAAAGTCAGAGTGCAGGCTTGTTCCCCCAACCTTGGCAGAGTGGGACATAGAGCAGAGGGCTTAGAGAAGGGAGGGATGTCTGTGCTTACATATTTTCAAAGTAATGCCCATCTTCACAAAGTATGTATAACTTACTCCTTTTCATCCCTTAGATGTAGAAGGGCTATCGATCGCATACATTATCTAAAAAATACACACCCTTGGAAAAATTCCTTTTAAAGTCAATTTTTACCCTGTGTTGCATATTTCCTTTACCACGGGCCACTTCTTAGGGACCTATGAAGTTAATGTCACAATCATTTTGTTTCTCTCTCTCTCTCTCTCTCTCTCTCTCTTAACAAAATAGAACTGTGATGTGTCTTCTTTGTAAGAGTTTAGGTATAAAATGCTATGCAAGTTTTTCTTTATAGTAAGAGCTTTATTTTCTTTAATAATGTACCCCCAACTTATATGTTTTAATCTCCCTTGTCCCTCACAATAAGCAGCAAATATAACTCAAGTTATAATGTTGTAGAAGCAAGAATCGAAACTGCAGTCAGTTGAGCTGAAATTAGCTACGAATTAATTTGAATTAATCCTAAAGTGACTTAGGTTTCCATTTTAGTCTATTAGCTAGTGAATTTTGGCTGTTGCTTTTTTAAAGCTAATTCCACACAGCGAAGGGACAAGACAGTCTGTGAAGGTGATCAGTGTAATAGTAAGCCATGTAACATTCAGGACAATGACATGGGGTTTTGTGTATTTTACTGGATAATTCCCTTCCACTGTCCTCTTCCCCTTGGCTGTGTAGATAAAACTATATGTTCAAATGATGGCACTTTGACTTTTGAGGGTTTTTTTCTCTTCCATCCACGAAATAATCATTCTCATGTATTTCTATTGTGCGTATAACCCCCAGCACGATATTTGGCAGCTGAAATGTTTTTGCTTTGGGCCAAGAAGATCAATGTTGGAAGGGTTTCTATGACGTCTTATGGGATTCACAGAATTATGACGAGATAGAAGGTAGTTATAGGCTTCACTTCGATCTTGCACACAGTGTGACAGAGACTACTAAAATTGAGATCAAACTCCCACTTGTCGTAGCATAAGCTAGGGCTCTCGCCTACACCAGGACAGAAAGCACATCATGGGATTTGTAATGTTTTGTATGTCTTAAGAAGACTGCTGAATAGCCAACCATCGATGTTGGGTTGGGCTTTGACTGGCATTTTCAGTCATGGTGGTGTGTTTTGCTGATACATCTGCTCTGTATTGAGCCTCCTTTGCTGTCATTGTTTATTTTGAGATGAGTCAGGAGTCACAGTTGAATCAGTCACAGACCAAGTCCATAAACAAAGCCATACATACCGACTGGCTTATAAAGAACTTGATGCTGTTTGACCAAACAAGGTGATCAGATCATACAGAGCTACATTCAGAGCTAGGTAACTATCACTGTGCAGAGGAAAGTCTAAAGGAAAAGGCACAACCATGATCACACAGATATTATTGATCATTATTCACACCCATGGTTTTCATTAATACTTATTTGTTTGGGGAGATGTGTTTGAATAGGGAGAGGCTCTGTGTTTCCCTCAAAACTGTCAAATGCATTAACAGCTCGTCGCAATGGACACCACAAGCAGAGACCAAAAGTGCATTTCCCTGCTTAGTTTCCTTGTGTGAGAAGTGGGAAACATTCTATCCCATTAGAAATAATGCAATTTCTAAATATCTGGATGTTTGTTGAAAATATGTTAGATGCATTCCCTGAAGTAAAAACAAAAACAAAAACAAAAAAAAAAACCTGTAATGTGACCAATCTGGCAAAAGTATTGATGACGGAGCTCATTTTGAGGCTCCATTTCCTATCAGTGCAAATCACTATGGTCTTCGTCATTTCACAAGATCACAGCTTACTTCCCCTCTGTGGAGAACCAGCTCTGTGTGCAGCCAGCCGGACATCCAATCTGAACATAAATTACTAGGGCTGCCCTAGTTCAGAGAACATCAACTGGAAGGCCCAGTGCAACTTTTGACAGTGAAGTGGTTAATTTCCACTGACATCTTTGTTTATAGCATTTTTTCTTTAAAACCCACCATGAGGAGACATTAGAACATGAGAAGAATGGTTTTGCCCGTGATTTACCTTTCCTGCTTAATGGGAAAGCAGAACAGTTTCCTTGTGCCCCAAAGGGAAAGAGATACAAAAACAGAACAACACAAAAACTACTAGTTCTTAGTCTTTGTCAAAACTGGCCTGATGTCCTTTTTTTTTTTTTTTTTTTTTTCCCCAAAATACAAATGAAGAAAGCTATTGTTTACATCCTTCTCTGATTTCTTCTTCAGCAGGGTCAAAAGACAAAAGACAATTGCTGGCAACAAGGGATGCTTGTCACAGATTGTGGGGAGAAAGATTTATACATGTATGATACTGCTGTTATAACAAACTAATCGGATTCTTGTGCTATAGTTTTCATTTTTTTCTTCTTCTAGTGGCACATGTATCAGAAGAGCACAAAGCAAGGCCATCGCAACAGGAATTTTTAAACTAGTATGAAACCCACACATGCTTGCACACACACACACAAACACACACCGAGGTATTTATAAAGATAACCATGGGATGTAAAATTTATGACCTTTTTGAGGCAAGGTGAAGGTGTCTCCACCGTCTGTCCCTCCTAGGACCAGTATATATTCACTGAAAGTTAATCCCGATGAGTTGTTATTGTTCGAACCATATGTTGATTTGCTTCTGGTTTATGTTTAGTGTGTCCTCACTACAAGGAACTGCAAGGGGCTGGAAGATTTTGCATTCATTACACATCCTCTGAGACCTACCATGTCACACACTTTGTTAACTACAAACTTCACTCTACACTATACAGTACCTTGTTGATATATTCAGTAAAGGCTTATTTTAAAAGAAAACCACACTGTGTTTAAGTTCATTGGGTTACAACCAATACTTGCGTTGTTAATGTTAAAAAGAAATGTGGGATGATTCCTGATGATGTAAGAGGGTGGCAGGGGTGAAGGAAGTAGTAGGATTTTTCCTTTTCTCCTACTTTGAAGACAACTTGTATTTTTTAAGGCCATTGGACCCTTTTTTGTGGGAGGGGTTTACATGACATCTTCATGTTCTTTTCTATTTCTCCACTAGATTGTGTGTTCCTATGAATATCTTTTTAGTATACACACACACATTAAGCATGTTGTTTTGTATTTGTGAAATCTGTGTTATTTGGCATAGAGATAAATACCAATGTAGTTATCCAATCGGAATAGTCTTTGCCCCTATTTCATAACATGCGCTATTGCTTTTAAATGTCACTTTTCCTTTAGAATTCTTATGGTACATTTCTACTTATGATTTGTTTATAGTTCATCCACCCATACTTCCAATGAGCACTCATGGAAAATGTTATCTATTCATATGCTCCAGTGCAACTCAGATTTATCTCAAGGTTTGCCAGAGCCCCTCTTTAACTCTCACTAATAATGTACTTGACATAGATTAAATCAGGAAATAAAATCACAACACTTCAGTTAACTAGTGTTAATTATTTGTAGACTCTGTTGGAAAATTAAGATGAAAAGCAATGGTAACAGGTGATTCATATTACATTTGGGTGATTTTACATCGAGAAATGTCCAGGCAACTCTTAGTTACTTTTACCAAGAATTACAGACCTTACTCTGTGAAGACCAGACCCTTATTTAAGGAATACAATTCATTAAAAAAAAAAAAAAAAAAGTTTATTGAAATCCTTCTACTTTGTTCCAGGCTCTTGGCTGAGTTCAGAAGTTTCAGAGAAGAATAAAATACAGTCTTGGGCAAATTAAGCATATCTTCTACTTCCCTATGTTCCTAAAGAAATCTATCCACCCAAAGTATTTACTCCTCATGTATTTTCTACAGAGTACTATGTTAGGTTCTTCTGGGAATTCAGAGAAAACTATGACTCTCCTGCTAAGGAGCTCATAGGTGCGTTAAGCTCATTTTCTAATACATTCCAGAGTCTCAGAGACCATGTAATGACTTTACATTCTCTCAAACTAAGCAGAGTAACTAAGGTGACAAAAGAAACATATGTACTTCATGGTAAATTTGATGATGCATTTGTTGTATATATTAGATGATCTTGATGTTTAATAGATGACACAAAGTGATACTGCATTGATAAAATTAGGATTAAATTTGAATTAAAGTTTCAAACATATACTACGTACTTGAACATTTAGGAATTGTGTTTGGTAATTAGACATGCAACCTTAAATTTCCATTTGGACTTGAATATAAATCAAAAACAATAATAAATAGCACCTGACAATTATTGAGCACCTATGTAAGACCATATTTAGGATGCTTTAATACACGTGGTCACATTTTGTCTTTAACCATATAAGGTACTTTATCTTTATTTCTCAGATTGTAAAACTCTGCTTCCCAAGAAGTATGGTGATTGGTCCATGATCACAAAACCTGTAAATGACAAGAGTAATTACAGGGAATTAATCCTAAATATGACTCTTAAGACTCTTAACTATTTCTTGTCTCTTAATAAATTGACTAGCTTTAAGACTAACTAGCCTTCAGGACAACTTCTTTATCAGTGGTTAAAATTTGTGATGATGGAGATATCACAACTTCACTCAATGGATGAAATATACTGATTATTGTTCACAATAAGGGAACATTCTAAAAATCCCCAAAATACTTTTAAATCTCTTGGTTACCCATCCTTATTTTTTTAATAGAAATTCTGTGTTTGTTATTATCGGGTGGCTGCACATTTATCTGATTTGAAAGCTTCAGATGGAATCAAGATATGCGTAAACCCACAGGGTGAGCTGAAAGGACTATTAAAAGGACTTGAGTCAGATTATTTTTAGTAATGAATTTGTTTCATACTTGAAAGGTTGCTCGAAGTATTTTGTAGATCCTGTTGAAGATGCTCATATGTCACAATCTATTAGGGCCTTAGCAAACGGGCTTCTGAATTTATGCTTTTTATTTTTTTTTCATAGCACAAATAGAAAATGTGTGCTTTAGAGGATATTATAGGAGCTTTATTTTCAGCAGTTATACTGACAGTTACAGATAAAGAATTGGTACACTCTAAAACAGATGCTTTTTTAGTGCACACTCCAACTGATGAGCCCATTTGTCCATTTTCTTGGTATGAAGTCTAAACTAAACGAAAAATAAATTACGTCCTTGAGGAGATTCTTATCATCTCAGTGACATCATCAACTTCCATATTGGGCCAATGTATTCCTAATCAAATATAAAATCTGCTGGTTGAGAGTCCGCTGATTTGGGCAGTAAGAACCTCTTTTAGTTTCATTTTGTTCTTATTCCACAAATATTTGCTGAGGCCTGCTAAGTTTTGGTGCTGAATGAGGCTATTTTCCAGGATGGTAAACTTTGCATCATTGAAAATCTTTCCTGGAAGTTACTGGCGTTTAACACATGGGGCAAGGCTTTTCCTGCTTCTTTGCCTTCTTTGAGCTGGCTCACACTCCTACATTTACATAATCAGGTAGTGTTTCCACTTCCAAGACTTGTAAGATTTCTCAAATGTGTTTTCTTTTCTCAGTTTCCGAACTCTGACATGGTGAAAACCCTTCCTGTCGTCTCTAGTCCACTTCCACCTTTCCTACACACCGTGGGACAAAGGATAATAATCTATAAAGAAAGCCTGATTGTGACACTGTCTTGGTTTCAAAATATTCCATTACCATGACCTGAAGAGAGAATTCAAACTCTTTGTATGACACATATGTCATATATACGTTGCTCTCTGACATTCCTTCCCAGTCTGTCTTCCTCATTCATTACCTGCTCTAGACTAGACACAGACTGGCTAGGAACAGAGTCTATCTCCAAGAGACCTCAAGCTCCTTCAGACTGCTGTAATTTTGTTCATCTTTTATCCTATGACATTCACTTTCTCTTTAGTTTAGTGACCTGTTCCTTCCTCAAGATACAACTCAAGTGTCCCCACCTTTAGGAAGCCTCTTAAATCACATATGTCAATTATCTGACCCCTCTGTGTGCAGTTAATAGAACTTTAAAATACCTGTATTTATGGGATCTGTATGTTGTGGTTTTTCATGGATCTGTTACATGCCTATACTCTGAGCCCCCTGGAGACAGAGGACATACCCTGTCAATGTTGTGTCATGTCCAGTGCTGAGTACAGCGCCCAGCCTTTGGCAGGTGTTCAGGACATGATTTTAGGTAAAATGTGAACAGAGCACATGGGACTCTGCCATGATATCAGGCTCCTTCTGGGGTCAGGCTTCCCTGAACAGCAGCAGCTCAAACAATAGCTGCTTAGTCAATCCTCTATGGCTGGATGATTTTTTTAAAAGCCTCAGAATGATTTGTAGAATTCTGGATATGTAGAATTAGCCTTGCTCAAATGCCACAATATGCACTTTATAAGAATAAATAAAGCATACATTTTCTAAAAAAAAAAATGTCTTGTTTACCCATGACAGCTTTTACAGAAATTTTTGTTTTCATGATTATTTGATGACCACACATTTACCTGACTTGGAAGCTTTACTATGAAATTAGGATATGTCTATACCCACAAGGAGGGCTGAGAGAACTATTCAAATGATTTGAAGAACATTTTTTTTTAAATATTTTACAATCTCAAAGCTCTGGGCCAACTTGCAGAAAGACATACAAAGATATCTTGAAGAATTGTCTTACAACAAAATGTCATCATCATGAGACGTACCCAAAGTATGGATAGACATAAAGTCAAAGTAAAACATTTTGACAGTTTGCTAGTCAAGATGAATTTTTCACATGTAAAAACCAGAAATACGTTATTTTATATTTTTTTTGTTTCCATCAGCAGTATCAAATGGGACATTCATTATTCACTGTGTCATATCTTATATCTAAAATATGACACGTATCATTTAGAGGTTCACATTGTATTGTCTTGGTTATTTGCTACAAGAATAAGTAGTTTTCATCTAGAAATGATATTCCCATAAAGAAGAAGGCAGTAGAGGTGGTAGTTATTAAGAACTCAGAATTGAAACAGACTGACTTACTTTGGAAACCTGTCTCTGCCAATTCTCTTTGTTAATAAGTTACACTTTATGGTCATTAGTTTCTTTTACCTGAAATAGAGATAGTGAAGGTTGACACATATGGAGATTGTCAGAAGTGCAGGCATGGAAAGCAGTTGGCAGTGTCTCAGATTCAAGGGAGCATTGAATAAATGGCATTGAGCACCACGTATATTTGAGACAAACCTCATTTGCAAGCACAGGGTGACACACTGCCAACTTTATATGAAGAAACCAGACTATGTGAGTATTAAGATCAGAATTATATGTAAGAGTCATCTATTTAAAGGTAATTAGCATCCCAAATTCCACGTAACTGTGTACGACCATTATCGATACAAGTCTGACGGGGTTTTTCCATTTCCCCCTATTCTTTTCTCTTTTTTTCCTGGAAAAATTGGGGTAAGGAAGAGTGCCATAAGGTAGCACAGAACCATACCAGGTCCTCTGTCGCATGATGGATGGGACCACTGACCAGCACTGGTGAATGGAGAAAGAATAAACTTCTTAGTAGTGTAGCTAGCATATTTCCTATTGGATCTTCTGAACATGTATATGTGTGATTATTGCCGAAAATTAATTCAAGAGTATCTAATGTGCCCTAGAATGGAGTATTCAGGAAAACATTAGAAAATTAAAACATTTTAAAAATCAAGATAATAACTCTATTAAAAAGTGTGTAGTGTGAAATGGCATAGTTTTGTTTCATTTTACTATATGACCAACCATAGGATCTATGGATCTAGGATCTTCCAAATCGAAGAACGTATTAATGGTTTTGCAATGCAGATGTGATAGTCTACCAGCTGTCACACAGTTACTTTTTTACAGCCAATACCATTCTCAATTTTGTAATCTAGTTGTAATTAAGAGACATGCATCATCTTCAGATAGGTCATGTTGTTTCTTTCCTTCTGTACACTATCTGTTGATGATAGTTAAAATAGTCTCAAAGCAGCTCACTCACTGGGAGTCCATATTAGCATTATTTTCCTTTTTATCCTGCCTTTCCTTGTTTAATAAATGCAGAAGTTGAGACATTCAGATGCTAGGGGAAACAAATACTTTCTCTTCTAGTTCTTGACTGAAGGGTTCAGTTGGTTTCAGGGCAGTTATTTGGCAGCTATAAATCAATACTGGCATTCCTGTGGTCTGTGGCCCGTTTCTTTTCTCTTTGGGCTGGTGTCTGTTTGATAGTTTGCCCCCCAGCTCTTTCTATTGTTAACTGTTTTACATATTGGCTATCATTAGTTGGAATACAGTGCATTCCAAAAGTGTATGTGGAATAAGCAAGAACAAGTTGCTATGTAATGGAGGTCAATCACCTCTGATAGAGAACTGCAGTTTTTCTTTTTCTTTTTCTTTTTTTTTTAAGATTTTATTTATTTACGAGACACAAACACAGAGAAGCGCAGAGACACAGGCAGAGGGAGAAGCAGGCTCCATGCAGGA